TACCTCAGTGTGAAGATGGGATGTTTTAATCCTCAATTTCCAGAGAAGTTTTCTCTTTTCATTTATTTTTGCTACTGTAATTTTGAAAAGGCCAATTTTCTGTAACCGTGTTCTGTTCCTGCAGAAAATATTATATTTGCAACAAGCAGTCTTGTTATTTTCACACAATAGCACATCACTTTACAATTCCAGTACAGTAATTATCATCATTGTGGGTCAGTGCTTATAAGTCTGCAGGCATTTTTTGGCCCCATTTTTTGAAATCTTGTGCTTTCATCCAGTTTCCAAATGTAGTCCAAGCAATCAATCTAGTTCATTGTCACAGAATAAGCCCTGTATAAAAATCAACCTTCTTCTTCATTTTTTTTGAAAAGTTTACTATTTTAAATTTGAGTCATATTTCTGTAGTAAAAGTTGCTGTCTTTGTGCATCTCAGTTCTGAAACTGTCACAATATTTTCTCAAACATAGTCCTCCCTAACAAAAATATAAACTCTATCTTGATCAATACAATAATTCCTTAGAGGCAGCACCAACCCTTCCTAAATTGCTTAACAAAGGGACTGTCTTGGGATCCATTCTAAATCAATGGATCAAATGAGCAATTTTGTGTGCTAATAAAGAAAGTCAGCCAAATATAGACAGTTATGCACCATTGCAATGGCTGAGTTTAGCTGAAGCACTTGTATGCTTTTGCTCAAGAATTGCATCCTTGAGGACTGAATGAAGGATGGTTTTTGTGTATGAATCACTGTGAAACTTATTTCTTCATCTGTCCCTCTGAGGTGAGTTTGTGTACTTTCAGTGATTACCCAAAGCTTATCTGTTCAATCAAGTCTTCACTAAATGGCTGTATACTTAAGGCTTCTTTATGCACAGAAATTGCACTGGTTTAACTAAATGTATGATGATGCACCAATATCGTTAAACAGATGCAACTTTGTATGTGGGTGCTGTACATCAGTTTAAAGCTGTCTTATTTCCTCTTAGCTTGCTCCATAATAGTAGGAACATGTGAAACCAAAGTAAACCAGGTTTAAACCAATGTAGACTATCCACACATAAAATTGCACCAGTTTAGCTAAATCAGTGCAACATCACACCTTTGGTATAACTTTGTGTGTAAACTAGGCCAAAGTAACTATATTTTCCTTTAATGCTTGTCTCAGTTCTTTCCTAGTGGGTGGGTGACAAACTGGGCAAGAGTTAGAATGTTTTAAATCTGGAAAGATCTCTGAATGAAGTTCCGGTGCACAGTCTGGACTTAAAAAAAGCTGTTTAAAACTTCCAAACAAGCTGGCCCAGCAGTTTGGTCGTATCACATTGTGTTGCCATATGGGGGAATCAGAGTTTGTTTCCTGACTTAACCTCAAGTTTGCTAGTCACTGAGCTTAACCTCAGGGTCCCTGAGCTAGCAGGCCTGTGAACTCAGTCAAGAAGATCCCTTTTGAACGGTTAGTGTGAAAATAATTTTTCCATTGCACATTTTTCCATTTTTTTACTGAGGTTTGCCAGATAACATAAATCAGACCTGTGGGGTGGTGCTTTTCATACTGGGGAAGAGCTGGGTGTCTGATAGTGTCTATCCAGTAGTATCTATCTAAATACCTCAACAGATATGCAGGCCTGATTTTCCTCTCACTCACTCTGGTTTTTCACCACTGTAATACCTTTAACTCAAGTGGAGCGACTCCTGAGTGAAATGAGAATCTGGCCCATAGACAGTACTTTAATCTGCATAATTTATAGTTAGGTGAAACACTTTTGATTTCATTATATCTGATTTACTCTTCTTTATCTCTATTAAATGTCACTGTCATGAATATTTGCTTCTGGCAATAGGAAAATCTGCTTTTGCTGACATCCTTTGACTCATATTTATGTCACATAATGTCCTTTGGAGCCTACATTGGTGAAATGTACTTTATTGCCCCATCATTTCACCAACCAACTCATCATATGCTAGTACTCACTGCTTTTGGTGTAATGTTCATATAGCTAATGTACATTTTGTGCTGTAAGTTTAAATTTCCAAACAATACTTTCACATCTTAACTATGCAACGGTTTATTTCATTGGTTAAGTACATTTAAAAGTGACGATTTTATTCATAACTTGCATAACGGTCACCTTCACATCTAACTGAACAGTCTGTTAAAAAGAGAGGCAAGAAATACTGTACTTCTGTCAGTGATTTTAATTTGTGTAGATATAAAATTAGCTAAGCACACAGTTTCTCTCTGAGGCTGCAGTCGGAAAGCCAGATTTTCTTCCCAGATCAATTTATGCAAGAGGTTAAAAGAGGAGGTAGAAGCATACTAAATAGCCTCTGAAATCTTATAGATGCTTTGGAAAATTCAGATTTCTTTTATGATTACAATTAAATTTCTACTATGAGTCAGCAGAATCATGACCTAAAGTTTCCCAGAAGTGAAAACTGGTAATAAAAAGAAAAAAGACCGGGTAAGAGTAACTGTTTATATATACATATAAAATATTTCTCTAGTGATAGGGACATCTATTCTTCTTAATATCTTCTAATAAATTTGATAATTTACAGAAGACTGCACTTTTCCAATCACTTGCATTGGTTTTGTAGGTTCTTCCATGGGCTTCCACTTTACCTCCACTTTGTTTTTAATTAAAAAAGAAATGTATGTAATTACTCCATTATAATTCTCTTTGTGATTGTACAAAGGCACCGAAAATGCATTGCATTATTTGAGAAGGCCAGCAATTATGAAAGATAATCCAAATGGCAGTGCTTGCCCGGTAAAAGTGAATGATAAAAGAGATGTTGCTATGTCCACATGTTATGAAGCAGATGGTGTCCACACCCCAAGTAATCATTCCCTCCTCCCCAATTTCCTGATCTCTAGAAGGGGATTGGATGGGAGTAGGAGCGGTTCTTTTACTTCCAAAAGGCCTAGTGCATCCAAACACCTTAGTGTATCTAAGCAATGATATCAGTGGGGTGAAACTGGAATCAGATTTAAGGGCACTATAGTCTGAGAGGTTTTATAATTTTTCCTTCTGCTTGGGGTCTAGTTGCTATTATCCTGGCCTTTGGGACAAAAGGCACCATTTTAAAACGTAGAATGGAAAAAGTATATTGAGTGACCACAAGAAAACATTTTTTTTGTAAATGTATGTCTATTTCTACTAGCAGCATCTGTGTCAGTGGTGTTATGGTTGTATATTTATTGTAAATAGTCCTTTTCAATTTCTGAGGCAGAAGAGTTGTTGATAAAATTTGAATTCGTGTCTTTTATATGGAAAAGTTTCTCATCAAATCTGAGGCAGTGATTTCTGAGTGAAGGAATACCAAACGTTTTGTGAGAACGTTTGTGCGTTCTCTTCAGGGAAGCCCTTTCACTGTGCCTCTGTGTTTTAATGGCTTTGGACCAGTAAACAGCCGTAAGTGACAATGAAAAGTAATCTTTTAAATTTTTCAGTTTGCACAAATGCTCTTCTCCAAGAGAGAACTCAAATGAAGATTATATGAAGAGGGTGGTAGACTTTTAGTCCCTACATAGGTATGCAAAACTCTTCTGTTTAAGTTGCCCTGACTTTGGGTGCTAAAACGCTGTTAAGTTTGGGGTAAATACTGCTGGATTATTCTGGCTGTGACAGATAGTGCATGCAGTTGCAGTATCTTTGGGGACCATGTTGTGTTAAGTGTATGAATGGTTTATGTTACATTATGGGCTAGGAGTTGTATGTAACTCCAGAGTGGGAGGGTTGCCACAGCTCCACTGGGAATTCAAAACAGTCGAGGGTGACAGGTGAATCATTTATGTTATAAACACATCTGGAGGGGGACCAGCCCCTAGAAGACTTTCATATACTGGTTCAGACTGTTTTTTCCAGAAACCAACAAAGAAAAGCCTTTTAATTTAAAAAGGCTGGATTTCAACTGACTTGAGGCCTTCTTTCTGATCTAGCAAATGCAGAGCCTGGTGTCAAAGGCAGGCTGCAACTCTTACAGATGGGTTGGAAATATATTGGCCTATTAAGGTCTCATAACACTGACTGGTGACCTCTGGGAATCGGAAACTTAAGTGGGTGCCCTTGAAAGACCATGGAAGGTGAATGTGGGTGTAATTACCCTTAAATATTGAAATAGGCAGGGGGCAAAGTTAGATCTAATTAGGCTATAAAGGAATTAGAAATTAGGGAGATAAGAGAAAGCAATTTTTTCTTATATTTAAAATTTTGCTGTATGTTTAGAGTGCCACCACCAGATAATTGTACCTGGAAACTGGTATTTTGCTGAACTGTTTTAGTGGATTAGAGACACTTATAAAATGAACTTTAGAGCACATTTTATCTATTGAGCCTGCCGCCAACTAGTCAGTGCCAGCATCTTGAACCGTGCAAAGAAGTACTGCCCTTGAAAATGGTAATTTTCAGAAAGACAGCACCCATGGGTGGTGCGTGAACCGCTGGCTGGGGGAGGCTAACCCCCAATCCTGCCCCTTCTGCCTGAAGCCCTGTCCCTTCGACCCTCCGCCGGAGCCCATAGCCCCCCCACCATGGCCCCAGCCCTCACCTCAGGCTAGTGCCCCCAGCCTCGGCATGCTGGGAGGGTGGGCAGTGCAGTCCCAGTCCCAGTCCCAGAGTGCCAGGAGGGTGGGTGGTGCATCCCCAGCGCCAGCCTGAGCCCTAGCTGGGACCATGGCACAGGGACAGGGGAACTGGCAGGAGGGAGTCTGGGGATGGAGCATGGGCGAGGCAATGCCTGTTTGGGGAGGAACAGCTTCCCCCAGCCTATGATACCCGCTGACCATGACAGCGCCACCTCAGGCAGTTCTGATGGTTGATGATGTAAAATTATTACCAGAAATATAATATATTGGAGGTTGGTACTCCTGGTGCCTATAAGGGTGTCTTCTTCACTCTCACCAAGATGTACACACATGTGTGGGCACGCACACAAATGTTTTCAGTTTTGTTGGTGGCATTTTCCTTTAGTAAAAATAATCTGTTGTTTCCCCTCTATTTTTCCTTCAATTACTACAGTATTATGATTCCATAGAGCACAATTTCTGCTGCATGCACAGTCAGTAATTGAATTATAGAGGAAAGCATCTATGGAGATATGTAAAATCAAGATTTCCAGCTTTTTATGCAAGTGTTTTGCCCATGGAAGCGAAGAAGCAGCTGTACTAGCTTAAGGCAGCAGAGATTCTGCTAAAAATAACACAGGCTTCCTTGTACTATTTTTTGTCAATGCCTTCATTTCTTCTTCAGAAGCTGTAAGTATTTACTAATTCTCCTTTATTTATCTCGTGACTGCTTGGTAGTATATGCAAAAAAATAACTGAAAAAGGTTTCCTAAGACTAAGATTGTGCTTAACCCCAACAATTTAAACAGTACTCAGAATCCCTTGTTTAATCATTACAAGTGATCTGCCTTAAAATTTTTGTCCCTGTCTTCATGTGCTTCCTGTACCTTTATTTATGGCAAGATAAAAACAATGGTGAAACTTAGCTAGACCATAATAGACTTAATCTCTGGCTATAAGCTTGTGGAACAATTGGATATCTTTGAGATCATGTCATTACACAATGGAATCTGTCACTTAGTCTGCATAATGATTAGAATTTAGAAATGGGGATGATACCATTTTAAAGGTTCTGAGTTTGTGCAAGGTTTGAATAAACAAGAAGTAGGGATTTTTAAAATTAATATCTTACCAGAAATAATGAGGGGTCATATGGATTTGAAGTTTGCGACCCTAATGGACAGACATTTTATGAGAAGAAGCTCTCTCTTTTTGGACAGGATGAGACCATTCTCACAGTATTTATCTTTAAGCATCCAGTCACAACTTAAATTACTAATTTTTTTCTAAGCTTTGAAAGGGTTGAAAAAGAAGTTTGGGTTTTATCTCAGTGGATTCTTACTTTATTTGACCCAGTTTTTGGATCTGTAATCAGAATATATTTTTCTATTCAATCCATACACCCAAAGACTGAGCTGGATAGTCTGTCAATGCCATTCTAAATGGTGGCCCAAACTAGATGTATGAGGTGTCCCAGCTCAGAGAGGTTAGGTTGCTGTGCTTGATCTTAAATGAAGATCTTGACAGACTTCTTTCATTCAAATGCTTGCCAAAGTTCTTAGTAATAGAGAAACTACACAGCAGACCTTCATTTAATTGAATTTTTGAGATGTAAAATGAAAGATAAAGCTAGAAATGTAAACACAGCAATAGTAGGTAGAACATGTAGACCGGCTGCACATCTTGTTTTATTTTAACACAACAAAAATGCTACAGTATGATCAGCCATTCTGCTTCAAATAATGAATTCATTCATTAAGAAGACAAGAATACCTAACAATCCAAGAATTCTGAACAAAAGTAAGTATATTTAATATGGAATTAAACTACTTTAAGAATAGTTATTAAAAAGAATGGGATGTATAAAAACAACAGACAATTCAATAGAACATCATTTAGAATACAATGCTACAGTGAAATGGTGAAGGATGAAAATTTATCTGGAAAAATTAACAAATTGCATTTATAGCATCTGGCTGTGAAAGTTGCAATGATTGAAGGAAAGCCAGGAAATGTCAGCATGGTATAATCACTCTGCCTCCAAACAGGTTACAGAGAAAATGAATATAAAAAATGCCTGTCTTGGACTGCATGCAAGTATGTACAAGTGGTTGCCTAGTTTTTAGGTCCATTTATTTCAACTTAGGTGTTTGTATATGCATATACCTAATTTGTACATGTAAACATGGTAATTTTTGGGACTAGTCATATGAGAAACTGTTCATCAATATGAGTAAGCAGTTCTCAATCTGGCCCATGGAGAGGGAGCTAGATTTCTCCACAAGAAAGTACAAGGGCCTGTAAATTCCTTTGCTAAAAGATTCACAGAAAGTAGAAACAAAAGAGGCAAGAACACATTAAAAGTAAATTTGTTTAAATGGATAGTAATGGAAAACCAACTCTAGTAATTCCCCAGCTTATAGTAGAATACAATTCACTAGGGCAATTGCCAGTAAGGGAATATCTACACTGCATTTTGGAGCTCGTGGGAGCAAGCACCCAGCTTGGGTTGATAGGCTTGGGATAGCACGATTTTCACTGGCTTTCTAAAGAACTGTGTAGACAACATTTTGAAGTTATGGTTCAGGCTTGAGCTCGAATTCTAAAGTCCACCCCCTTCTGTAGGCTTCAGAGCTTGACCTCTAGCCCAAGCTGCAACTTCAAAGTACTGTCTACACAGTTCTTTCGAGAAACCAACACAAGCCCCCCTAGCATAAGACAACTCATGCCTTCTGATACTGGGTTGGGGGGCACAATCTAAATGGGAGGACACGTGACCTCCCCACGTGTCTCCTCTGCCCAGCAACCTCCCAGCCTGGGGCCCCCATGCTCTCCCCACCCCACCAAAGTTACCTGCGGAGGGGGTGGGGCTCTGTCCTTTTCCCTCCGCACCTCCCCCTCTGCACGTTTGGCAGCTGGGCCCCGGCAGGGAGCAGAAGGGAACTACTTCTCATGCCGGTTGAAGCTGGCTGCTCCGGGTCACTGACTCTGTGCAGCGCAGCAGCTGCCTGAGAAAGCCTGGCTAGGGCAGTGACCCATTCCATCCTCTCTGCTCCCTGCCTGGGCCCGGCTACCGGTCACGGGGCCTGAGCAAGGAGGAGCTCCCCCTCCCCACCAGCACTTTCCGGCTCACTTGGCCACTGTCCCTGGCAGCTGGGCCCAGGTGGGGAACAGAGGGAGCAGGGTGGGCTTCCACCCCTGCCAGGCACTCTCTCAGGCAGGTGCCGTGCTGAAGAGAACAGCGACCCAGAGTGGACGGTGTGAGAAGTAGCTGGTCCTGCCCCTTCTGGGTCCAGGCAGGGAGCGGCTGCCAGGGACAGGGGCTGAGCGTGCTGCGGGGGCAGACACAGTGGGAGAAGGGAGCCCCTCTCTGTGCCTCCAGGCAGGCCAAGCAGAAATCTGGGGGGAGCCACTTGTAGGGGGGCATGTGGGGTTATATTGCCTATGCCCCCTAGCCCAAGTCTGTTGACCCAGACTGGGAGGCTCGCTCCCATGGGCTCCAAAATGCTGTATAGACATATCCTGAGAGGCATCCTCTTGTTGTCAAAGTAGAGGACTTTAGTGAAGGATCTGGTCCTCAGTTGTGTACCTTAACTTCAAGACTATGTCTTCTCTCTGCAATTGTTCTAGCTGATTATCCAAATTACCCAGAGATTTGTTGTCCTTTATAATCAGGCACATAGCTGTCTGCCTTGATGAACTAGTTGTCTTGCAACATGGCCAGGATGGATACTATGAGTACAGGCAGGAGGTTCTCCTGCCATGTTAAATTCAAGAAACAATCTGGTATGAAGGCTGAGAGAAATTCTCAGAAGACCCATACTGGAACATATATTTGGAACTGTAATGCCTCTGGGCCTTGGTTTAAGGGTTTCTGTAAACCAAGCTCCCATGTGTGGGTGGTCAGAACTTCCCATTTCTTCTCTCCCTGCAGATGTGAAAAATGTGGACAGAATTTTTTGTTTTAGGTTATGTGTCGGTAGTTTATCTGAGAACAATCTACACCCAGGAGAGAATGAGTGTCCTGGTGCACAGGCTTCTGAAAGTATTCTGAGCAGTTAAGTAGGCCTGACTCCAACCCCTCATGTTTTCTCCTCGCTCGCTTTCCTTAATCGCTACCCCTCCTCCTTACCTGAGGCTCCCAACCCTTCTTCCTTCCCCTACCTCCCATTTCTGTTTCTCCTCCTCTCCATAATACCCCCATCCCTCACTGCAGACTCAATCACCTTTCCCTATTACCAACCACTCTTCCACCCATAATTACCCCTCTTGTCTCAAAAAACTTTCACAGAGGCAGTGTTTACAGTTCTTTTTCAGATTTCTGCCCAGGGTGGGTTTCCAACTGTAAAACTGCAGGCTCAGAGAGGTGTTAAATGGCCCATTCATCTCAATGAGATATTCTTAGCTGAAAGAGAATACCTGATGAAGATGAATGCAGCCTGAAACATTAGCTCTGAGAAGTGTAAACTGCTCCATTCATTTCAATGGGTATTCCCTTTCCCCCTCTCCAGTCCTGGAGAGTTTCTGATATGTGTCAAGCATACTTGTTCTCAGGGCCCAAATGGTGTGCCAGGTGAGGAGTGTCCTTGGTGCCCAACCCCCTCCATTTGTTAAACTTTTGAATACCTTACAGCCCACCCTGAGCCTGGCAACCCAGGCAGTTTTGTGGGTCGCCTGCCCCTAAACCTGGCCCTGCTTGTTCTTAGCTCCTCATCCCGGCTGCATCAATGTGTTCTTGACACATGTTCCCAACATGGCTGTCCTAATCTCCCCACCCAGAGGAGGGGAGGGGTAGGGCTTCCCCAGATCCTGATACATATGAGGGGGTAAGAAGAGGGGCTGAGGCACCCCAGATAGGCAAGCCCCCTCCAGAATCTGGCTCATATGAGTGGGGGAGGGGGCAGGAAAGAGAGAATCACACCCTTGTAGATGAGTTGGGGATGCCCATATCATGGTACACACGGGAAGGGCAACGTGGTGTTGATAAGCACCCCAGACCCTATTATCCCCCAGAACACCTGTACCCCTTCCCAGTGCTCCAGCACTCGCCTCACACTCATACATACCCATTCTAGTTCCTCTCCTCCTCAGCTGATTCCCCTGTTTCCACCTACTCTTCCACCCCAATCCCCCTCCCCTCCCAGTAAGCATTTGCTTGTATAAAAATAGTTTGAGCACCTTCTGAATATTCCACTGTACTTAGATTACATTTCCCCAAAATAAAAATCCCCCTATGTGAGGGGCAGACTGGAGCAGTATGTCTGCTTTTTTTACTTCAGATTTCTGCCATGGAACCTGGGGTTTGTGCTTAGATTCAATGACCATAACATGTCCTCAGAGCCATGGTCCTGTGATGGAGAGGTAGTTTTCCAGATAGTTAGGCTCATGACTAGCCTCACATGCTTAATCACAGTCTCAATGGCTACACTGAGCACTTGCCTAGAGAGAAGCTAACTGGAGAAGCAAACTCTTTTTCAAATAATGTTTTAGTTGACTTCCCCCAAATGGCTGATGTGTGTTATGCACTCTGTTGAGGGTAACCCTTGCGGGTTGGAGACCCTGGTGTGATGATCTGAACCCTGAGCTGACCTCTCTCTGTGAGCACAAAAAAGGTTGCCGCAATCTCTCAACTTTAAGAAAAGTTGTTTTTTCCCTCAGGAGTTTTATCCCTCTGGAACCCCTTGGTCAGA